AAAGCGTACGCTTGAACATTCGTGTCGAAGGTTTCGGGCACATGGGTACCGGGAATTTTTACAATCATAGGAGCCAGGCCTCGCCTCGACTTAAGTTCACTGCAAAAATGTTTAGATTCGCTGTGAAACAGAGAGGTATCGGAAAAGTACAGCATGAAATGCAAACCGATGCTCCAGATCCGCTTTCCCTTAGGCGGGATAGCAAGGCATTAGCCTTCGATGGGGCAGCTTCCCTCCGCGGACAAAGGAAAGCGCTCGTCAAGGGAAAGGGTGAACTTTCCAAAAACGGCAGAAGGGTCTCCCTCCGCGAATCGGATCCTTATCCGACACCCTGGGGAACGTCGTCTCTCGGACACCAAGAATCGCGGCGATGGGCGAGGTGCCGTGACACTTTCAATCCCTTTGAAAAATCCAGTTAAAGCCAGATCCTCCTCTACCGCCCTCCAACCTCTCCCGCTGCTCTCCGGCCGCTCGATGCATCCGCGTAAGCGATGTTGGGCGGACGGGCGGAGGGAGGGGGGGAGGGGGATGGGGAGGGTGTAAGGGGAGGAGGAGGAGGAGGAGGAGGCCGGTGGCTCCTAGTGCGCAGGTCTCCTCGTCGTTGCTTCTACGACGAGTAGTCGCGCAGCGCCGCGAGAGCAGTACGGAAGGGTTCGAGCCGAGAGGTAGACTTGGCAGCGGAGGCAGCCAAGACCGAGTCAGCGACACCCGAGGTAAGTCCTGGAGCTTCCCCGAGGAAGCGCCTCGTCGCCGGTCTCAGTACGATTACGCGAGATGGGGCCCGCGGTCCTCGAGGTTCGGTGCCGCCTCGAGCGAGAGCGGACACATTACCTCGACAATCGACCTCGCTCGGCCTCTACGATCGATTCATCCCCGCACGCGAGAGAAAACTCACTCGGAGTGCCGCCGACACCGACGCCGACGCCGACGCCGACGCCGACGTCGCTACCGCTCCGCATCGATCTACGACTACCCTGAGCTTTTGGCATCGCCTTCTCGACGCTCCCTCCTATCGATTGTCGCACTATCACGATTCGTCCATTGTCCCGAGGGTACGCGTTCCTGGGTCAGCCTCGAAGAGACGCGCCGCCCTCCCTACTATCCTCGGCCCGAAGCTTTTTGGGAGGTGGGTGGGTGAATGAGGCAGGGGATTGGAGCACATGGGAGGAGAGGGGGCAGAACGGGTAGCCGATCGATCTCCGTGTACAGCGCCGATTTCGTGGAACTCGGTTACCAGGCGACTTCGGCCATCCTCAATTACAAGATCTCGCCTCTTCTCTTTTCCCGTCCATCTACGCTCCCTCCCATCCTCCCTCTCTCGTCACCTGTCCAACACTGCTCGACTTGTGCCATTCAATCCGAAACGCGACAGGGCCAAGATAGCTAAGCCCGTCACCGCCTGACGCCGAATCCTGGAGGCCAATCCCTCCCTAATAGCGATGTCGACCCAGCCGGCTGAACTTTACTCCACTTTACTCGTAATTATATCATAATAAGCGTCGCGTCGCCAGGACCACCTCCTCCACTGCCGAGGAGGAACGATCGTTCGGCTAATGGCCGACCGTTTGCATCAAACACTTGTCATTACGAAAATTTGTATGAATTCACGGGCTTGCGCACTGCCACTTATATACTTCCAATCGCCTTCATAAGATTTCTAATTCATACATTATATAATGCTATTAAGCCGCAATTATTTTCATTTTACGACACTATTAGCGCCTCCGCGGTAATGGCCAACGGCGAGAATGACATTAGCGCCTCGTCGACATCTAATTTTCGAATGGTCGTTACTTTACGTAAGAAGCGCGTTATGCATTTTGCGCGAGAGAAAATGTCGAAAGGCCGATATCGACGATTTACCGATATTATCGAGCGAGTGTCATAGAAATTTAAAAGACATTTCGTCTTTTCGTCGTAAATGCTTTAGTCACGTGTAATAATTACGAGCGACAATAATTGTCAGAGGAAAATTTTCGATGATATAATCATCTATACTATTCTCTTTGCATGGAAAAGTTGTTATTTACGGTAAAATGTCGGAGTACGACGGATAAGAACGACAAGGTTGCATTAAAAGCATTAAACTTTTTGCTGACAAGAGAAATTATTTTTAACGCGGGTAATGAATGTAAATTACCCATTACTATTTATTGAATTGTCAAGGTGCGTGTTTCAATTAGCTAAAGAGACTTACTTAATCGAAAAAGAACTCTAATAATGAGTGCTTCGTTTAACCTTTGTTTTTTTTTGTTTTTTGTTTTTTTTTTTTCCCCCAAGGTACTTGCAGCGTAATTATCATCGGATTCAAAATTCGTACTTTCTCGGCTGAAGATCTAAGGCGTAAGATCTTACCAATGATGAGACATTAAAATTGCAGATTTCCAGATAATTCCAAACGCTATCCAACAATAATCATAAAGCCGACGTTCCCGTTTAATATATATATCTACTCGTTTGCTTCTCTACTCATCTCCCTCCCCCTCCCATACTCCCCTGCAACCATCATATACCAGACCCAACTGCGTGGCACCGACTACGACGTTCAGATAGTAAGATCCTCGAGAGATGGGATAAGGAGAGAATCAGTCGCGCATTAAAGGCGAGCAGAACCGATGATATTTGAGAAATCGATGCCGCCTCGACGGCCCTTACGCAATGTTTACAAGCGCCACGACGTAACTCGGCCAATGGAGCGCGCGGCTTTAATTGTGTGCCACTTTCCGCGCGAGCGACGGAGCGCGGCTGAAAGAAGAAAGAAGACATGATCGCATGTCACCACGCGACGCACAATCTCGGGCTGCGTAAATTATTTTCCCGCGGCACATCTCGGGCGGCGTGGTCGTGGTGGGAGGTAGGGTGGTAGGGTGGTAGGGAGGGAGGGTAGGAGAGTATATGGGAACAGAGCGAGGAGATATCACGATTGTTCGCGCGACTTGTTTTAAACTCGCGCCGCTCGAGCTATCTATCGCCTCGTCCTCTTTACGTCGATTTCCGCGCTCACTCATCAATCGCCAAGGCAATTTGTAATATAAACATTGTTTTTCTAAGGACGTATTTTGTAAACAACGAGGCAGCGAAGGTACACCGCGACGATCAATGATTATTAACATAAATATAAGGCGCGCTTAGCAACGGCCAGCGGCATTTTATTAAACGCTGTCGCCTCCTCCTCCTCCTATTCGTCGCCTATTCCCTCTATTTCCTTGGTCTTACCTATCGTCGTAATCCGTGTCACGGCGCATTCATGCGAGCGACGTATGTTTTATGTAATGCGTAAGGCACACCGCTATTTTATCATTTTCATCTTGTTTCATCTGCACGCTCGCGGTTCGTTGGGGGGAAAATCGTGGAGCTGGGCCGGCTTCGCGCTAGAAAGTTTATTAAACTTCCCAGCTCCTCGTATATTCGACATGCGCATTACGTCTCCTGATGCAAACTGAGGCTGATATTTTCTATTTCAAGAAGCCCCGATCGAGAACGGAGATAGATATGCGGAGATATTCGAGTCCCACGAATATTCGATGTAAAGTACAAGGTTACTTTGCGAGCAATTTTCCGAAATGAATACACGTGCTGTCTTGGATTGGATTTGCAAGTATTCATTGTCGAGGCACCGTTGCATTTTTCATATCTGACAAAGCTGTACAAAGAGGCACATCCACGAGCACATTTCCTCATATTTCCCAATGTATACAAAATTTTATTAATTCACCCGCTGAGTCGAGTCATTTGCATATTCTTTAACGGTCAACTTTAAACTACGAAGCTTTCCATCTCCACCCCCCCCCCATCGTTCCTCATCGCCTTCCTATGAACGATTTCCTAAGCTAATCGGGATATTGACTGCCCGCGAGTCGTTATCCACGTGATTTTGACGCAATTGACCATATTTGCCCTCGAGCATGCTTTCCTTCCACCTTTTCCTTACGTCGCTTCGTTGCACTCCGAGCAACGAAAAGAAATCAATTTTCAAAGAGCCAAATGTCATGCCGAAATGCACAAAAATTTACGGAGAGACTTGGGCAGAGACCCGCGCGCGCGCGCGCAAACTCGCAACTTTCCGAAAAATTCCGTCACCTTTAAAGTTTTATCGTAGATTTCTCCGATAAGATATTGTTTGCCGTAGCTGGCTTTTCTAATAATTTCTCGAAAATTTCTTGAAAATTGTTTGTAATTGCAGATTGTGACACTTTAACGTTTTTGATGAGTCCGTGATTTTCCGTACGTGTCATTGGTGATCGTCGAGTATTATGGAATCGATTAATCTAATCGATGACCCTCGCCCAGTCGATCATCAGCAATGCATCGCGGACCTTCGTTTACAATGATCGATAAGATACAAAATAATAAGAAATAATTACAATTACGGGGAATTATAACAACAACGACGACGACGACGACGACGACGACGACGACGACGACAACAACAAAATATCGTGGACAATATTTAGCTAAGAATATGTTCTCGTTAAAGGAGTCGAGGATCCTTTAAATAAATAGCTCATTTCCACTATTGATCACGACCTATTAGTCCTTACGAAAATCACAAATACGACGATTGAATATGATTGGAATTTCGAAAAAGAATCTTTTAATTATTAATTAATCCCTTCGATAAAATGAAAAATTTCACTCGATAAAAGCTTATCTTTTAAAGAGATACTCATGGATGAACAACTTTTCATATAATGAATTCAATGTTACGGCGGTAAGAGAAAGGAAAAAAGTAAGGAATTCAAAATTACTGTAATAAAATCAGTCTCGTATAATAACAAATAATGAAAAGGATTCTGGCGAAGCTAATTATCTGCGCGCAATTCCTGGAAATCGCTTTTAAAGAATAATAACGAGATTAAATGTAAGACCTCTACAATCTGAAATAAGCAAATGAATGAGTACCTGCGACGATCATTTCTGCGAATAAATATTACAGTGTATTATCAGCAGTGGTGTTATTATTAGCGCTTTTTTGTTTTTCAATAGGAGTAAGACGAATGCAAAACGTCGTATAGCATTGTGTCAGTTTAGCTCCATTCTGCTTTATTTGAATTTCCATTGTCCTGATCGAAATCCCAATGAATCATAAATCTTTCAAATATACAGCACTCCAGCCAGACGAATAATAACATTAGCCAACTTATAATTAATTATGTCGACAACAATAATCATAAGTCCCTCTCGCTATATTATCGCTGTGTTATAAGCGAGTCGTTTGCAAAAGTCGAGAAACAAACGGTCTTCGCTGTTAGATTGTTCACTGGCAAAATTAAATAATTAACAGGGCCATATGATTATTAAAGCGTAAGTGACGATAAACGAATGCGCTAGCGACACTATGAATATGTAGAGCAGTAGAATTCGTTGCGCATTAAAACAAACATTCGGTATTAAGCGCCGACTAGTAGTGGGATGCTCCAATGTCTATGTGTATGGGCGTGTGTAATGAGATGTAATAATAACGTTTGGCAGAACTTTCAATGGATATTAAAAGTAAGGGAAAAGGATTTAAAGACTGTGACAACGATTACGAGGTGCCCCGTAACACGTGGAAAACTTCCTGCAGACGTCGAGATCGCGTTACGAAAAAATAAACCTTCTGCTGCAGGCTCCATGGGATTATGGATGTGCGCGCGCGCGCGCGTGTGTGTGTGAAATGGTAGTGGTGGGGTAGGGTTGGGCGACGGGGGAGGTGGGGGAGAGCATTATCGAA